GCCTTAAGTTCTCCTGCAAAATGTCTTGATAAACTTGGGAATTCATTTTTCCTTCGATGATAGCAATCCGTCCAGGCCCTGACGCAGCAAAGCAGCCCAAAACCATGATGCCCCCACCACCATACTTCACAGTTGGGATGAGGTTTTGAGGTTGGTGTGCTGCTCCTTTTTTTCGCCACACATAGTGTTGTGTGTTTCTTCCAAACAACTCAACTTTGGTTTCATCTGTCCACAGAATATTTTGCCAGTACTGCTGTGGAACATCCAGGTGCTCTTGTGCAAGCTGTAAACTTGCAGCAATGTTTTGTTTGGACAGTGGCTTCCTCTGTTGTATCCTCCCATGAAATCCATTCTTGTTTAGTGTTTACGTATTGGAGATTCGCTAACAGGGATGTTAGCATTTGCCAGTGACTTTTGTAAGTCTTTAGCTGACACTCTAGGATTCTTCTTCACCTCACTGAGCAGTCTGCGCTGTGCTCTTGCAGACATGTTTACAGGATGGCCACTCCTAGGGAGAGTAGCAGCAGTGCTGAACTTTCTCCATTTATAGACAATTTGTCTTATCGTGGACTGATGAACAGCAAGGCTTTTGGAGACACTTTTATAACCCTTTCCAGCTTTATGCAAGTCAACAATTCTTAATTGTAGGTCTTCTGAGAGCTCTTTTGTTCGAGGCATCATTCACATCAGGCAATGCTTCTTGTGAAAAGCAAACCCAGAACTGGTGTGTGTTTTTTATAGGGCAGGGTAGCTGTAACCAACACCTCCAATCTCATCTCATTGATTGGACTCCATTTGGTTGACATCTCACTCCAATTAGCTCTTGGAGATGTCATTAGTCTAGGGGTTGACATACTTTTTCCACCTGCACTGTGAATGTTTACATGGTGTGTTCAATAAAAACATGGCAACATTTCATTCTTTGTGTGTTATTAGTTTAAGCAGACTGAGATTGTCTATTGTTGTGACTTAGATGATGATCAGATCACATTTTATGACCAATTTGTGCAGAAATCCATATCATTCCAAAGGGTTCACATACTTTTTCTTGCAACTGTATGTCTGTCTGTGTGTGTGTGTGCCAGTATGTCTGTCTATGTATGTGCAAGTATGCCTCTGTGTATGTGCCAGTTTGTGTATGTGTGTGTGTCAGCCAGTATGCCTGTGTGTGTGTGTCAGTATGTTTGTGTGAGTCAGTATGCCTGTAACAGTGTGTCTGTTTGTTTGTGTGTGTGCGTGTGCCTGTCAGTGAATGTGTGTTAGTGTGTGTCAAATCAGCGTGTGTGTGCCTGTTAGTGAGGGTGTCTGTTTAGGTGAATGCCCCCCCCACTTTCAATCACATTGGAATGGTGTTTTTACTCTCCTCTTGGCGGAATGGGCCACTTGACCAGGCCTAAGGCTGCCAGCCCACCCGTAATTGTGCGTATACTAGGGATGTGCATGATCCAAAAATTTGGTTTGGTTCGGCACTTCCGAAAGTTGGGACTTCGGCGGTTCGGTGCAGAACTTTGTCAAAATCGGGACTTTGACAATTCGAGACTTTGGAATTTGGAACATCTGTAGGGCTCCCTAACCATATCATAACTTAACTCTACCCTACCCTATCCGAAGTGCACTTCGGCACTTTGGCCATTCGGTTCGGCAATTCCAAAATTCGTGACTTCGGCAATTTGGGACTTCGGCCATTCGGTTCGGCACTTCCAAAATTTGACAATTTGGACTTTCGGGAGGATCCGAATGTTCGAATTGCCCAAAATTTGTTCAAATACTCATTCGGACCGAAACTAATTGCACATGTCTAGCGTTTACTTTGTCTAAGTGTGTGCATACTGTGTATGTGTTATTGTGTGTATATAGCAATGTTCGTACCTGCCAGTTTTCTCACCAGTCTCCTACAGTCCCCTCATAAAAAATTCCAGTCTTTGTATTGCCAGTATTTTTATAATACTGGCACCGGCCAGGCAGCCTCAAATACTGGCTGTGTCGATAAAATAGCAGCCAGATGACAACCCTACACAAACCTAATAAATAAGATATTATTCTATAATCAGAAGATGTAGTTAACATAAATTTACTGAAAGAGCACACATTAGGTTGAAGAAATCACAGCAGTAAGTCAATGTGTATGTAAATGGAAACACACAAAACAAAGTCCTGTGTCCAAACTCCCACTACTCCTGAGTGGCAGCAATGGCTACAGAATTGTTCTACAGCCAAAATACATAGAACAAAAAGCTAGAAGAAAAAAAAAAAGTTACCTACACACTATCCAAAACACCTTTGTACATTTAAATAAATGGAGGTCTTTAGTACCACTTCAATGGCCATTAAACTGCAAACTCAAGTGCCCAGTACTACACTAACAATTCATCTTGCTGCTTTCAGCTAAAAGACAAAATCTGAGACAAAAAAAAGGAGTATTTTATAAAGACCTACGCACATATTAAACCTTAGTAGGGCCCACTCCTTGTAGGTGGCAGCCATGGTTACAGTATTCTGAATTCAAAATACACAGAACAAAAGCAAAATAAAGGTTACACACTATCCTAAATCCCTACGCACATTTAAATAATAGATTTTTTTGGGAAAACTCCAATGGCCATTAAAGTGTAAGCTCACCTGCCACGTCAAGGCAGACCTCTTAGGTAAGTTATACATTAACAATTCCCCTTGTTGCTTTTGGCTAAAAGGCAAAATCTCTAAAGACAGAAAGGATGATTTTTTTAATGAACCCCTATACGCTTATTAACCCTTACTAGGGCAACATGGGGTGGGCTGGCAGCACTGTGAAATGGTTGTCTAATATAACAACAAACATACAAATGTAAGCACTGCACACAAACTCCACTTCTATTTGTGTGTATGTGAATATGTACAAAAGTAAAAAAAAACTTAAAAACACTACAAACCTTAGCATATATTTCTTGATAAATATTTGCATGTAAAGTGATGGTAGATAGATAGATAGATAGGGTTCAATCTACATATTTGCTAGTATTTTCTATGTGGTTGGGTTTTTACAAAATATAACCAGCAGAGGGTAGCAACGTGCTATATTTTGTTCTCTTATACCATGAATGAAAGCATACTAACCAAAAACATTTGTGAATGGTTTAGGCAAATCAATAACTTTACGCTTGTCAAATACGATAATGAAGCCCAAGATGTGTACACTCAATATAGACATTCTGTTAACTAAGGAACAGCAAGAGTGAAAAAAACCTGCTGCCTAAGGTCTTTCCACCACTATTGCCTATATTTAACATGGGGAAGACAAACAAGCGTACCAGTTTCTCGAAGTCCCAGGTCCCTGAAAAAGGTTCCCTTATCAGTTCTCTATGGTACTTTCTTAGAGTCATGTCTCACTGGGGTTTGTGGCTCTCACCTCCTGAGGCCTGTCACATGCTGGTCCCCTCTACTCCTGATCCCAAAATGTTGGATCTTAATCTGGACCCTTTACTGGAAGACCCTGAATGGATTTAACTCATCCAAGCCCCATGGGAGGCCAACTCAGCCTTGCAAGTGTCAATAAAAGAGGCCTGCAACATCTGCACGATGAACTCCAGAGCTTAGCTGATCAGTTGAGATGGCTGGAAGCAGACAATGACAATTTACTAGCAGCACAGTCAACCACTACAGACACCTTACTGTACCAGGCTGAGCAGATTCGGCCTATGGCGGTGTACATGACAGATTTGGATAAAATTACCAGCTACACGTACCTATCATCGAGCCCTGAAGCCACTCACCCTTGTTCTCTCATCAAAGAACATTCAATACTACTGGATTGTCCCTTTACACCCCAGAGGCTCCACAGATAGTGAGGGTGCACAGTACCTTGTGGCACTTGGAACCTTCTCCAGGTACGTCATATAAATATGAGGTGGCCTGACCCACTCGATTATTACATGCAGGCTTCCCCTAGGACCACCGCAGAACCCTTGGCCCAACACCAGAAGTGGGGCAGATAAGCATACTCACCTGGAGTCCTGCTTTGAGACATGCAAATTGCAAGTATCTCCTGATTGTCTATGTCCTTCAGTGGACTTCTGCTCCCTGTTGACACTGTGTTCTATTCTTATTTTTGTTATGTGTGGAAATAACATTTCAACTGTCATTGCTGAAAGTAGTGGGTTTTTATATT